TTTTCAGGAGGATTCACTGCCCAATAGTCCTTCATTGGCTCTCTAGTAGGGATTTATTTGACCGTATATGATCAACATGGCCATATTCGGTTTAGGACATAAGCCAGCATTACCAGCTGGCTTGTTGGTATTCAGCAGCCAGCTGGTGAGCTGTCATTCACAGTAAGAGTCCATCAAGAGTAGGATCGTTGTGCACAGTCCATCATGTTTGTGTCAGTAGGTCAGTGTGCCATGGGTTTGATTTTATTGATGATGGATCTACATAACTTGACAATGTGATCAACAATGGAATAAAGTAGAACTATAGGCAAAACTTTTTTCATTTTGGAAAGAATAAGGCAGGGTTATAACCCCTGTGAGACCTTTTTTTTGTCATCTCTGTCCCGTTATGGAGATTTCCCTGTCCTGTCCCAGACCCAAACAGAAAATCAGAGGAAATCCCTGCAAATTAAGAGAATTCCTTGGGGATCCCCAGGTCACCAGAACTAATACCCCCATTGGAAGATTTCCCTTCTATTACTTATCTGGGGACAACACAAAATTTGGGACTTTCTTTCACTTTCAATATTAATGGTAAACAGGACAAACAGAGAGGGCGAATCTCCATGATAGGGGCACAGACAGCAATAAAAACTGACATGTTCTAATCCATCTATCTTCTATCCAAAACTAAAAATGTTTTTCCTTTTAGTTATACTTTAACACAGAAGGACATTTGACTTTTTAACCAAGTCAAGCTAGAGGGTGGCAGGGGTGAACAAAATCACGTATGTATATGTGATTTTGCATCTCCGGGTAGGGGGCGCACCCTAGCCGTGCCACCATTCACAGTTGCGGCTGTCAATCACTAGGTCCCGGCCGGTGATTACCCTCCGGCACCCAGTGATTACTGAGGATCTCCGATGGGGAGGAGGGCTGCTTTGTTTATTAACAGTCCTCCTCCTTGTCGGCTCAGACACACTGCTCTAGATAGCTGTGCAAAGCACAGCCATCCAGATAAGTTCTTACAGTGAAGCACCAACACACTGCCCCAAAACACTCCCAGCACACTGTTAACCTTTTTATCGCCCCTCATGTTAACCCCTTCCTGCCCAGTGCCATTAGTATAGTGTCAGTGCTTTTTTTTTAGCACTGATCACTGTATCGGTGTCACTGGGGATGTCAATGACACCAAGTCAGTTCCCCCCAGTGTCAGAATGCCCACCGCAGTCCCGCTATGATGTGATGTCGCTGAGCGCTGCCATTACTAGTAAAAAAAAAAAGAATCCCAGTATATATATACCGCCATTTGTAAATACTATAACTTTCACATACACCAATTAATTTACACGTATTGGGTTTTTTTTTTCAGCAAAGACAGTTCACAGAATACATTTTGGCCTACATTTATGACGAAATTAGATTTTTTCATTTTTTTACTGGACATGTTTAATAGCAAAAAGTCAAAAATATTGTTTTTTTTTTTCTCAAAATTGTTGATTTTTTTAATAGCGTAAAAAATAAAAAAACGCACTGGCGATCAAATACCACAGTAAGAAAGCTCAATTTGTGGGAAAAAAGGACATACATTTCATTTGGGTGCAGCGTTGCATGACAGCGCAATTATCAGTTAAAGTAAAGCAGTGCTGTAATACAAAAAATGGCTTGGACAGGGTTAAATCCTCAGGAGGGCAAGTGGTTAAAAGACTTTTTTTTGAAGATGAGTGTGTTTACTTACTGCTTTTTTTCATTGATGAGGAAGTCCTCCCCTCAGACCTTTGCACCCACTGGGTTAGGAATGTCCCTCCCCATGCTTAGGCAATTGGCCTGGGGAAGGGGAATGAATACCCACTGTCTCTCCCTTTTCAGGCTAGCCAGGTTGCATGCTTGGACAGAGGTCTGATATGGATTTTGGGATGAGGGACAAACTGTTTCTTATGTTGTTTTTTTTGGCTGGAGTCCTCCCTTAAAATCCATACCAGATTCCTATGTGATGTTTTAAAACAGCAATATATTGCTTAGTATTTTCTTTCAAATGTGGCTTTAAGGAGTGTGTATCTATTATCATTTGCTTAAAAAAGGATATACGTGTACACTAGCACACAGAAATGAGCCAACAAAATCATTGCATGTGCGTGCGCAGCTCAGTGTACAATTTCAGCCTCTGCTGACATGAATGAATGTCATCTAGGCTAAGCCAATCAAAACAGCTGCAGACAGGGAACCCAGAAGACCTGCTAAAAGAGCCAGCTGCCAGTGAGGGAGCTCCAGACACCATATTGCTGGAGTGGAAGTGAGCATAGTTTCTGCTTAAAAGTGATACTAAACCTAAAAAGCCATTGCTTGCATTAAGGTCAAAAAGCATTTTAAGTTCCCTGAGATGAGAGGGGAGAAGAGATCAGCATTGTGCATGGCTACATCTCTTCTCCCCTCACTTCCTCTTCACACAGGCACTCGAACAGCAGTAGGAACCATTGGCTCTTGCTGTTGTCAATCAAATGTGGTGAAGAGGAAGTAGGGGGCCTGTCTAAGTCCTGCTATGTGTGTCTATGGAGCATGGCTCCATAGACACACAGGTCAGCAGCGAGCACGCAGCATGTTTCCCCATAGCAAACGGCTTGTTATGGGAACACACAAAGAAGAGGAGGAGCCAGGATCGCTGGGGAGGAACCCAAGAAGAGCAGGATCAGGGCAACTCTGTGCAATACCACTGCACAGAGCAGGTGAGTAAAACATGTTTGTTATTTTAATTTTAAAAAAAAAGGCTACCTTTAGTAACACTTTAAGTTTTTTCATCTATTTAACTACCATTAGCAGTTTTAAATGCACACACTATAAAATGACATAAGTGTGCAAAGCTATCATTAGAGGATACTGTAAAAAACCTTGATATGTAAAAAGCATCAGTGACCTGAACATGGATGTGTATTGTACTGTGCATACACGTATCTTTATGTGTATGCACAGAATTTAAAGTACTAGTCATCGTAAAAGATTCCATACCTTTGTGCCTTTGTCCTACAAAACTTACTGCTCAGGCTTTATTGACATGCCATTAATCATGGTACATTCCCATTTCATTGCTTAGTTAGATGATCACATTAGTTTTCTTTATTTTAAATGCTTTTTAAATAAAAATGTTGACATACACATTGTATACTCCACCTTGAATGAAAAAACAATGACTCAAAGCAGCAATATTTGGTTGTTAAATGGACATGAAAAGCTCTGACCACACCGTGCATTGAATATGCATGCAATCAGCTAGACAGATTTGGCTATGTATGCATATCTCCACATGCACATGTAAGCCTGCAATCCAAGCATATTTATCCCTGCTCCCATTGATTTGTTTAGGAAATCAGCCCAGTATCTTTTTAACATCATAACCAATACGCAGGACCAATACACACATATCTTTAGTACAATATTTCATTTAAAAAGTGTATTGAAAATGAGCTGGCATGAGACATACTCTCATAAGGCCACTGCTGATCAATAATTACACTAATAAGTATATGCATTACAAGGGGTAGAGAGATTTAAAATAGCTTAAGTTTCAGTTGAACCAATAATAAAATTGTACTTAAATTTTATATACTCTAACTGTTTAAAGATCCAGTGACAGTTATTCAAAAGAGACCATGAACTTTCAATATAATGCACTGTCTGCAAAGATCCTTAACATAATTGGGTAATTTGAGTAACTTCAGTGTCGCTTGCTATATTTTTTTATCAGATGAGGTGATGAAGATTTGCTCATATGTTAAGATAATAGAAATGTTGTGAAGTGACCGTGTGGCAGCTCCTAGGTTGAGACCAAAAGGATTTCCACATTGGCAAAGAGCAGGCATTAGGCTACTAAGAAGCAGGAACCATGACTGGGAAAGAGGGTGAGGGCATCACCAACAGCAAATGGAAATAGGCATCAGAATATGGATAATAAGATAACATCTAAAACCATTAGCAATGAGAAAAGTGCTAGAAAGTATTGATGAGTGGGTTTTAAACCTAGCAACCTATTGACAGTGCAGGCATGCAGGTGGCATGAATCCATGTAGCATGGGTCTTTAGCCAGTAGACTGCACAAGTAAATTCCTAGGAACTCTATACCTGAACATTGTGGAAAGGACAAACCTATTATTATAGCAGACCAGATAACTCCTTAGTTGCCCAGAAGCACAAAGGACCCAGAGCTGCAAAGTAAACTATTTAGGTAGCAATAGCAGGTGCCAAATACATTTGAATAAAATGGATCACTCTCCCACAAGCCTTAAATGGGGAATCTCATTTAATTGCAATATTGTTCCATGTCTTCTTCTCCCTCTCTCTCACTTTTGTTCTCTTAAAGTGTTACTAAAGACTATTTTTTTAATTAAAATAACAAACTTGTTATAGTCAACTGCTCTGTGCAATGGTCAGGCACTTCTTAGTGTGCCCCCATAGCAAACCATTTGCTAAGGAAGCACATGGTGTCTGCTCGCTCAAGAGCTATATGTATATGGATCTGTGCTCTATAGACTCACACAGCGGGGCTTAGCCCCACCCCCCACTTCTCCTTGCTGCATTTGATTGACAGCAGCAGGAGACAATGGCTTCTGCTCCTGGTCAAGTCCTATGTGAAGTGGAAGAGAAGGGAGAGGAGATGCAGCTGTTCACAGTGCTGGATCTCTTCTCCCCTCTCTTCCCCTTCACACAGGGAAGGGGGGGACAGAGAAATAGAAAGCAATGCACTAAGGTAAAAAAAAAAACATTTTTAGCTTTAGTATCACTTTAAAGAAACTCTTTAATTTGAAGCATACTGCAAGGAAAGTCTCATAATTTTTACTTCTCTGGTGGGCAGTGAGTTCATACTCCACTCTTTTTAAGAGTTATGGCCTCTGGCTGAATTTTCACACCTAATACACCTGCCTGTGTGTCAGATGCCAAGTCTCCAGCTATGTGTTGTAGTTCCTCCTGCCATCCCCTACCTCACTGCTGTGTCCCATAGTGACGTAGGGTCTAGCAGGCATCCAACACACCTGAAAGCAGGGGCGGACTGACCATTTGGAAACTCGGGCACTGCCCGAGGGCCCAGGGTCAGTAGGGGGCCCCATGAGATGCCCCTGGTACCTTTTCCATAGGCTTTTTTGAGTTTGGGCAAGGACACAGGGGCCCCATGATCCCCTATTGCCCAGGGGCCCCATGAGTTATCAGTCCGCCCCTGCCTGAAAGTGTCAAGTGCTAAAGATATTCCTGAAAGTAGTAATTTCTGGAGAGGCACCAGCCAGATAGTCTTCTTTGGCAAGCAGGCTTCTTTTTTTTTCTGGCAACAGAGTTGCTTTTCTTTCCTTGCTTTTGTCTTTCCTTGTTTTCTGTTTTCTTTTTCTTTCTCCCTTGTTCTTTTTTTTTCTTCATGTTTATCACTTGCAATTACTCACCAGCCCCTCATCTAAGGGTATAGATTGGGATAACTTTTCATTGCTTAAAAATGGCATTAGTTCAACCACTTTCTTAGCAAATTAACATAATTACCATGTGAAGCTCACAGTTAAAAAAAAAAGCAGGAAATCATCACACATAAAATGTCTGTACATGAAATAAATGCATCTGCAAATTGTAACTTTAACTTTATAACTAAAACAGAAAATAATTTCTTTTAAAAATCTGGAAAATTCAGTTTGTTTCTCTTCAGAAATACATCAATTAATTTCCTTTTTTTAGCTTTTGTGTAGTACAAATTCCATTCTTTAAAAACACTTTATGAAATTAACTACCATGGGAAATGCCTTTTTGTTGCAGTAGTGCTATTACATTAGAACAAATGAGTGATGATAACATGTCAAGAAAGAAAACCCAAAGGCAAGCCTTAAGTAGCATTAATGGCTAATTTATCCCTTGTCTTCCCAACAGTTTTATTCAATATGTGCCAGCTTTATGAGAAAAAGAAGACAGTAGTTCTTGGAAAACTTGAGCCTCTATCACCGTTTGAGATCCAAAAACCGTAATCATTTTAAAATATTGAGTCACTAAGCCGGTGTATTTCATTCCAAAAGTATCCTAGAAACCTTTCAATCAAGCATGTTGAGAATGTGGCAGCTAGGTTATTTGGGGAAAAGGCATTGAGAAAAATAATGTTGGCGGCGTAGTGACCTATAAATGACCCAGTCTTGTAGTTGAGGTATTAATTCATGTAGTAGCCTAAAAGGAAGATGCGGTTGTTTATTCCTAAAAAGAAGCAGGCTAAGGAAATCCATACAGGTGAAAGTGAAATGGCCACATTTCCCAGTGGAACACTTTCCTTTCATTTCGAGCAGCATTTACCCTATTGACCCCCAAACTGTTACACTTTAAAATGTAAAGGCATTACTTTACTTAATATCCCAAATCAATGTGTTGTTCAATAATACTACGATGTAGCAGTTCATCTAAATTGTAGCTTTCCATAGCACCCAATGAGATGTTTAAAGAGGAACTAAACTCTGGAAGCTGTGCCTAAAAAAAAAGGCAGGGATAAGGGAAAGAGCTTGAGGCCTTTATTGTCTGTGGTATGCATGCAGCTGATCTTTTCCCTATTAATGACTTACTATGCTTTGTTCTGCTTTTTTGTGGAGGTGGCCATTTTGGTAGAGGCTGGGCTTTGCTAGCAGTCTAAGGCCTTAGATGTCGCATTGCAGATATATAGTTATGAGGCTGCAGGCACAGGAGTGCTTAGGCACCTTAACAAACTGAGAAGTACACTGCTTTTTTTTTCAGGACAAGAGGAATTCCAACACAAATGTTCGCTATAACATAGTAGGTCAGAAATGTGATAAACAATATAATTTATTAACACTAACCATACAAACATAAACGCAGGGCAATACTAAACATACTACAGTGCAAACAAACCAAACCAACCACCCACAGATAACTTTTCAGGATATTGCTTAGGGCGCAGAGAATCACAGGCCAACATTTTCAGACAGATGTCACAAGCCAGGATCGCTATCAACATAGTAGGATCTTACAGGGCCCAGGACAAACACAACACCAAGGCCTTGTTCATCCCTTTCAGTATCATTCCAGTTTATAATTTGGTGTGGGAGGTAGCCCTGGTATGGATAGAATCATGCAGGTCTTAGCCTGTTACTTCAGTTCCACATCCTCAAACCAAATGCAAGGTTCTGACTTGTTGCCTCCAAAGCTACTCACATAGACAAGTCAAAGAAATACTGCACACCAGGATGCCACAATGTTAAACACTTCAGGTATTAACCAGCAGAAACATCATTGTGCACTTGGCACCAAGGTACAGTGGTTTTGCAAAAAAAACAGGGAAGAACTGTGCCTTAGCATGAAATGAGCCAAGCTGTTCCTGCTGGATGTTCAATAAAATGTTCAAGACTTTGGCATCCAAATGTGTGGTATTCCTTTGTATTGTCAATGTGAGAAGGTGCAATAGGCTTCTAGTATTCATGTCTTTAGGGAGGCAATGGTAAAAGCCAGCTTTTCCCTTTTCCCATAAATGCCCCTCAATCTTTAGTGAAATGGAGCCTTGACTGATGCAAGCAAGACTGTCAAAATTAGATGTCTCTGGAGAACACATATGAAACATTTATTCTTAGTACAGATCAGGTTTGCCTACTATAATATGGGGTTAGGAGGTGATCCTTAGCTCTATTTAGTATTGCCCTGTGGTAAGTCACTTATTATAAAGATTTGCCAGCTGTCCAATGAGTTATTTGTCTGCCCTCTCTCCTTTAGAGAATAATAATCACAGCTTTACTGGTGACTGACCTTGCCATTGGTCAACGTATGTTCACTAAGTAGGATTCAGGGTAGTCAGATGCCTTTCCAACCCTTATGGCAAGGACAGGCATTTAGTGTAACTGCAGCCAGCATACACTGTACAGCATCTGTTGGCATGCTGGAAAATATTTGCACTATTTCAGTTTTGTCCTTGCCCTTTTTTTGATTTAACCCATTGCTGTGTCGTAATTAGGGAAGGCTACGTTTTACAACTTATTTAAATTGATTTAGGCCATTTTTTTCTCAGTAGTCTTGCATGGTATACATTGTAACACAGCTTCCTTAATACATAAATCTATGTTTCTTGTCACTGATATCTGTGCATAGGTAGATAGCAGTGAAGACATTACTATTGGCACTATTAGCTACATTCAACTCAGTATGGCATGAGCCATATTATCAGTTAGTTTGTTACATTAAGGATAGGGAATAAGGTTTAAGGAGTGATGGGTTAAAATATCTAAAACACAAAAGCCACCCAAGAACAGGAAGTATGCTATTTGTAGGACAGTCAGGTGCAAATAAAGGAAAAATAAACTGTAAAAGAAAACTGGTGTAGCCACCATATCTAAGGACTAGGTATGAGATAGGTCGGATCCAAACTTGGATCATCCCCATCTCTTTGTACAGCTGTGGGGTACAGAATCTCCCACTGGAAGCTCATTGTGCCAGCAGTACAATTATCTTCCCAGTTTGGATCAAACCCAATTTGTACTGAGCCCAAGCTCACCCTTGCTGAGGACTGGTAAGCAGCAACACATGCTATTTTTGTTTTTGGGTTTAGATTGGATTTATGGAGAGTATTGCTTACTGCTTATACAGTACAGTGACCAAATGGGGCAAGGTGCTTAGTTATCCCCATGATCTGCTATAAAACAAAACTCCTGTATCATAAAGTGTAACTTTAACTTAATTTATTCTGACCATTAAAAGAAATGTAAAGTATCACCTTTGATCAGACCTTGAGGACATTATCTTGTATATCGGCAAACAACTATCAATTAGTCAAGAGATGGCACCAGTTGGTAATATTTACAAAATATGACCCTTAAGGGGCACCTGTGCCCAGACAATGTACATTTACATTTTAGGTAGTCTTAACAAGTAGTGATTAAGCTTTAAAAAAAGGCCTCACCAGGGGCGGACTGACAAATCATGGGGCCCACGGGCAATAGGGGATCATGGGGCCCCTGTGTCCTTGCCCAAACTCAAAAAAGCCTATGAAAAAGGTACCAGGGGCATCTCATGGGGCCCCCTACTGACCCCGGGCCCTCGGGCAGTGCCCGAGTTTCCAAATGGTCAGTCCGCCCCTGGGCCTCACTGATATCGCTAACTGTTTGTATAGTAAAGTAATTCGCAATAACCAATCACAACACAGATCACAATCACAGTCACAACACAGATTCTAAAGAAAGTTCCAGTCAGTTTCTAGTAGCTTACAGCAGCTATCATTTGCTTGCATTATTGGGCTGGAAGGCTGCCAAGATTGCACTCTCAATAAAATAGAAAGGGGAATTGTGATTTCAGTTCCTCTGTGGTACATATTGATGATGAATTTCCCCGTAATGCCTATAGCTACAGTGTTTGTATTGCTTGTTTAGAATGTGTAAATACCTAATTTCTCTAGTCTGCGCACAGGTCTACTTTAAAGATTTAAGCCTTATGGATACTGTCAGAAAAAAAAACACCGGTTTTAGAGGCTTTTTTTTTTCCTTCAATGCCTCTGATTACAGCTCTATTTTAGCCATTGTCTCTATGCAAATTGTGATACTTAGATTCAAATTTTAGATAAGTGGTTTACAAAAATGCTCCAAACCTGTATTCGGAGAGGGGCTTTCAAAATGTACACACATACTCATGCTAATGCATATAAGCACGTGTATATGCGTGTAAATTCACTATAGTGGAAAAAATAAATTAATATTCTAGCCAATACAATGCGTTTAGGTGCATATGTTTCTACTCGCCAGAAACTCCTAAGTGCTCATAAATATGTATAATTACACTCAAATCAAGCATTTTTATACTAGATTTTTTTTCTGCCAGCTGCTGGCAGAAAGATCCAGCATGGATGAGAGTATTTTAATATGCTTTTGTGCATGCAGCCGTATACTGGAAGTTGGGTGTTAAGGTCTTTAAGTGATTGTAAAGTTTTTTGTTTTTTTTTTTATTAAAGTAACAAGCATGTTTTACTTTCCTGCTCTGTGGTTTTGAACAGAGCAGCCCTGATCCTCCTCTTCCAGGAACCCTCGCTGGAGCTGGGCCTCCACTCCCTCGCTGGTGTCTCAATAGCAAGCTGCCTGCTCTGGGGGCACTCATGCATGCTGGCTCCTGATTCCTGCTCTGTGTGTCCATAAGACCTGAACCCTTTCCCCCCTCCTCGTCACTGGCTCTGATAGACAGCAATGGGAGCCAATGGCTCCTGCTGCTGCATCTGAGCCAATGAGAAGTGAGAGAGGTAAGAGAGCCTCGGCTCTCATGCATATTATTGGATCAAGATCGGGACCAAGTATGCATTTAGGGGGGCTGCGGGGGAAACTGCATGCAGAGGGAGCAAAGCTAAGATTGCACTGAAGTCTTTAGCGAAAGAACAAAGCACAAGAGTGGAAATGTAGTCACAATGCAAAAGAACCGCTATAAGGTAAAGAGAAATTTTTTATGTTATCCATCAGTATAATAAACAGAATGGTGCAGCGTTATGTTTTTGTTTTGTTTTTTTAATTTAAATATTTATTGGTTTTTCATATTATTACAAAAAATTTCATAAAAAGAGACACAATACATTTAAGTAGTCTTAACATTTCTATTTTACCCCTTCTAATAACTCTTTTCTTTCCCTCCCCCCCCCCCTTATTCCCCTCCCCCCTCTCCCTCCCACCCCTCTGCAAGTTCACCAGTCTCACGAGGCCCAATCACTTTAAATAACTTCCTAATTTAAGATTTTCTATATTTCTCTTTCACTTCTGATTTTTCCCATTTTTCCCATCTCGAATAGTATGTTCCCAGCCTATCTTCCTGCATATAGTAAGATTTTTCCATTCTACTGATCTGATTTACTCTATTGATCCAGTCTTCCTCCTTTGGCACCTCTGTTTTCTGCCAGAACTTGGGTATCAACCCTTTTGCAGCATTTAACCCCTTCACGCCTAAGGGTAAAACAAATCTAAATGCCTAAGCACAATTCTGCACCGTTGACATGTGATAGCAAAACCGTACATATCATCACAACTACTTTGCACATCCAGGTGGATTATACCTTGATTCTTTCAGGATAAATTGGGCCTTCATTTGGTGGTAAATGGTAATGGATATCTCCTGATTTTTTTTTATTATCAAAGGAAAACTGGCCAAAAATAGTAAAAAAAATCCTTTTTTTTTTATTTAGCTATGTGTTTCTTGTTATGACCATAACCTACCACCAAAGAGCAACCCAAAATAAATTCTCCAGCTCTTGACGATCGCAGCGATACCATATATGTGTATGTTATTTGTTGTTTGTACCCGTAGTACAGCCCAGAAACCATAGTGCGCATTTTGTTTTTTTTTTTTTTTTTTACCTAAAACACACTAACACTAACTGACACTGACATTAACACTAACTGACACTGATACCAATTTTTTTTTAAATCCTGACCTTTGACCCTGACCTTTGACCTTGACCCTGACCTTTGACCTTGACCCTGACCTAAACACTAACCCTGGCACTGAACTAGATCCAACCTTGATCTAGGTATTTTTTTTTATTTTTTATTTATTTTTTTTTTTAATATTTATTTATTTATCTTTTTTTTTTTTTTTACAAACTTTTTTTTTTCTTCTCTCTGACAGGAGTTCGAGAGATGACTGATCACTGTGATAGCCAATCAGAGGCTATCACAGCGATCATGTGACCCGGGACCGGGAGTCCCGGGTCCCGATCGTTAGAACGGGACCCGGTGCTCTCAGTGACACCGCGGTCTCGGTGCTGGGAGCGCGCTGAGGGGCGCGCTCCCAACACAAAGACAGGTACGCAAATATGCGGCCCCATGGAAAAAAGCCCAGGTCCGTGAGGCCGCATATTTGTGTTACGTCGGCGTCAAGGGGTTAAATAATACCATACGCCTGATTCTTTATATTTATTTACTGTTATCTCAACGTTATGTAAAAGACACATCATTGGGTCTAACCCTATGTCATTTCCAGTTATTATTTCTATCAATTTAACTATTGTTTTCCAAAAAGCCTGAATTTTCGGACATTGCCACCACATGTGAAACACCGTGCCTATCTCTCCACATCCTCTCCAACACATTTTTGAATTCTCCCCACTCATCCTGTGCTCAATACTCGGTGTAATGTGCCATCGTGTCAAACATTTATAATTAACCTCCACTTCTCTCATACTAACGTTCTCGTGTGTCAATCTAAATATCTTTTTCTGTTGATCCTCATCTAACACCACCTCCATATCTCTTTCCCACTTCGTTATAAAAATTAACTTTGTGTCTGTGTCTAATTCTGTGAGTATTCTATAAATTTTGGCAATACCATGTTTCCCATCTCTACGTGTTTCTAACAACCTTTCAAACATATTCCACTCCTTTTTTAATCTCAAGGGTTTTGGTAATTTCCCAATAAAACATTTTAGTTGGTGATATTTCCACTCATCTATTCTAATAAAAATGTCTCCTCCCTTCTTCTCTTTAAGTTCTTTAAATGATCTCAATTTCCCCTCTACCAGTACATCTCTCAGTTGGACATCTTCCCTCTCAAACCATCTCCCTGATATCTCATCCTTTCCTGGGGGTAAATAATCAGTATTGGCAAGAGGCATTAATATAGAGTTGAATTCCCATTTCATATTTTTGTGTAAATTATCCCATACCCTTAAAACATTTAAAGTGTAATTACTTGTGTTTTCATTGATTTTTCTAAAATGTGCTGGAATCCATATCATCTTACTTAAACTAATCCCACTCAGTGCATTTTCAATTTTTACCCAACTCTTCCCCTTCTGGTTAAATGTCCAATCATAAATTCTTGCTAAAATTACTGCTTTATAATATCTCTTGACGTCGGGTAGTCCCATTCCCCCTTTTTCTTTAGTCCTACTCAGTATTTCATATGATATTCTTGGTTTTTTATTCCTCCAAATATATCTTGTTAACATTTTTTTTATTATCTTAAAAAAAAGCCTCTGGGAGTTTGATCGGAACCATTTGGAATCTATACAGTATTTTAGGTATAATTACCATTTTAACTAGGTTTATATGTCCTATCCATGATGGGTTTCCTCCTAATATTTTCAATTCTTCCTTAGTCTCATTTATTAAGGAAATATAGTTTAATCTATACAGTTGTTTATAAGAGATAGCGAGTTTTATCCCTAGTTATTTTATATCTTTTTCTCTCCATATAAAGGGGAATTCTTTTTGTAACTTTTCCTTTTCACTCTTTAATATATTGATGTTCAGAATCTCTGTTTTTGTTGGATTAATTTTTAAGTTTGATAGTTCCCCATACTCCTTCAAAAATTTAATTATATTTGGTAATGTTATTCGGGAGTTACCTACATAGAGTAATAGGTCATCTGTATAGGCCGCTACTTTGTGTTCTATATTTTCGATCTGGATTCCCTTTAACGCACCACTTTTCCTTATCATTGACAACAAAGGTTCCAATGACAAAACATATAGCAGGGGGGACAGAGGACAGCCCTGTCTTGTTCCATTGGACATCCCTATGGATTCCGATCTCTCTCCATTTACTGTAATAATTGCGGTGGGCTCCCTGTATAATTTACCTATCCACTCACGCATTCTCTCTCCAATCCCCAACACTTCTAAGTTGTCCATCATGAAGCCCCAATCCACTCTATCGAACGCCTTTTCGGCATCAATCGACAACAGCACCACCGGGGCTTTCCCTTTTCTACTTTTCTGGATTAGCATCAGAGTTCTCAACCCGTTGTCCCTACCCTCTCTCCCTGGGACAAAGCCCACCTGATCTCCATGGATCCATTCTGGCACTAAATCTTTCAGCCTATTTGCTAGAACCTTTGCGTACAGCTTAGTATCGATGTTCAATAATGAAATTGGTCAATAACTAGAGCACTGAGAGGGGTCTTTTCCTTCCTTATGAATGAGCACAACATGGGCCTGAAGAGATTCTCTTCTACTCTCCATCCCTCCTCCCCAAATCGTTCATATACTTCTTTAGCTTAGGTAACAATATTTCACTATATTTTTTATAGTAATTAACTGTGTACCCATCTGGTCCTGGACATTTTCCACCCCCCGTACTTCTTATTGCTGCTTTTATTTCATCCTGGGAAATTTCCGCATCTAGGGAGTTCAGTTGTATTTCACTTAACTTTGGTAATCCTGCGTTTTTTAAATAGG